AACCTCGAAAATCTCTAGTCGGCTAGGGTTTCGGGCAACAACAGAACAACACTTATTGGCAAAATCTAGCCAGAACTAAACTCTCCAAACCCTTCTACCAACTAGGCAAGTGATTCTCTATACTATAGAGAACCTATCTCTCCATACACTCTCTTGATTTTAGAGTGTACAGGAACGAAGAGAAAGAAGGAAGAGGTACTAAACCTGCTCTGATACAAAGATGTAAATCAGTCCTCTAATATCAAGTTTAAATTCAGTGATTAGCAAAATAAAACAGATTTGAATAACTGTATAAGAGAAGAAGATGGCGAAGAGAAGAGGTAAGAGAAGAAGGAGTCGAATTAATTCTCCATTCTCCTCAAACCCTATTTTATTAAGATCTAAAAAATTAATGATGACAAGTATGCCCTTAAGTGGGCGGCCAGCTTGGCAGTTACATAAAGGAAATAAACAAGAATAAATAACAGGCCCATTAAGTGTGGCCCATCAACATAAAATAAAAGATATTACAAGAGAGGCTGTTAGGGCCCATTCGGCCCAGTCTCTTTACAGTGTCGAACAATTTCACCTAGCTTGAAGGATAGTGTTAAGAAGCGCTTGGCTATGGGCATTTTTGTCTATTTTATGCTTTATACTAATCAGGGGTATTTACGTAATCTTCTACATTAGAAATAAAAACAAATGAAGTAAGTAGTACTTCAATTTCTTTCCCAAATTCCAACAGTTTATAACACTTTCAATTCCCCTAATTTGAAAGGGTTCTCAGATATGAATTCAAGTGAATCATCAATATCACAAACTTGCATGCATCTCAATAATAAACAGAGAAAATGAACAGCTGACCCATAATCTAGTATACCTTCACAACAAAAACGTTACAGGAGGAAACCTCCTCCAAATATTTTTTGTGGACGGAATCAAGGTACAAAACATCAGAAAAGCCTTTGGCCTTGGCCAAACTTTGTGCCTTCAAAACCTATATACAACAAAAACTAAAGTATCAAAAAACATGAATATACTAGAAACAGATGCAAACATGGACATGAAAAGAACTGAATGTCTGCAAGCAGTATTTGCTTTTGAGTCAAGGACTTTTCATGGTTCTAAAGGAGACACCTATGCATTAAGGGGCTTTCTGGATGCACCTTATTGTCATACCTTTTGTTGTATATACATGTTTGGTGCCTTCTTAGTCAAGTGAAAAAGGCAAGATTGAAAAGGCCATTACCCAAAGTTGGTCCCAGCTATCTGGGGTCTTGGGAGGGATAGGCTGGGTAAGATCCTAAAATAGTTGTTTACTTGGTTGGGAAGACAACCTGTAAGTAAGAGCTTACCGAAGCATAGTTTCCTATAGTCTTTACACCTCCAGTTCCACCAGGAGTTGCACGATGAAATTCATTCTCAACCACCAAATTTATTGGTGCCAAACCTTCCTGTCAGCAATTACATACACATTGTTCATAATGACCAAGAAATGAGTATATGTCAGGCAAAATTATATGATGAAACTATGAAAATGAAAACAAAATGAAAAAGAAATAAAAGAAAACAAGTGTCAAATGTCAAGGAAGGAAAAGCATTCCAAGAAAAATGCTAAAAACATAAGAGTGATAATACCTATAGACTTGGGTTAGACTGTATAGTCCTAAAAAATAAATTTGCAGAACTATGGGTCCATTTGGTTCGCAGTTGGAATCGGAATCAGAACCAAAATCCTTCGTAATTGGAACTGGAATGGTCTATACCAATATAGTCTGTTTGGTTCAGACAGGAATCTGGAATTGGAATTGAAATCAGCTGGAATGGGATTTCATTCCCAAGGGAGGGGGAGGGAATGGCCCAATGTTTTAAAAGCACAAGGCGCAAAAAAAGCGCAAGGACCGATTTGCACATGAGGCACTAGGCACAAGGTGAGGCATGCGCCTTTTTGAAGCAAGGCGCAAAATTACAAAAAAATGCTAAAAATTAAAAAAATGTCAGAAAATTCAAAAAAGATGCCAAAAAATCGAAAATATTAAACATAATGTTAATAAAAAATACAAACTTAAATTTTAAAATAAATGTTTTAAAAAACCTATTATCTAAAATTAAAATATATAAACATAACATGTAAAGTGTAATCAAATGAAAATTTAAAAATAAAAGCAAACATATAAAGAATTTTCAATCATGTGAAACCCACAATCTCTTTTTTCCTCAATTGCATTACTTCAAGTAGCTAATGTGATGTAAAACATATTGCATTCTTGATTTTGTGAGTTACCTTTGTACCACACCCCTCGAGGCAAGCCCGAACAAGTCCATGTTAGGGTCTTAAATTCTTATTTCTCACATAAAAATAATGATTTTATAACTTTAATTGCCTTTTAAGAAGATATTTTATTGGAATGAATGAATGAACAACATTAGAAAATAGGGGGGTCTCGAAGCTATGGTGAGCGAGCGAAGCGAGCGAAAAGGCCTTCCCCTGATGCCTTTTGGCTGGTTGCAGCTACAAGCTTACACCTCAGATCAGTGTTTTAAAAGGCATGGGAGGCGTACGCGTGGAGGCGCGCCTCCAGGCGGCGCTCCCAAAATGCCCTGAGGCGTATGCCAGAGGCGCTGACACCTCTGAGGCGTACGCCTCTTGCGCTTTTTTCATGAGGCATGCTAGAGGCGTATGCCTCATGCGCCTCATGCACCTCATGCACATCTAATATAAAAAGACAGAAAAAAAAAGAAAAAAAAAGAAAAAAGGAAAGGAAAGGAAAGGAAAAGAAAGGGAAGGGAAAGAAAAAGAAAGAGAAGAAAAAAAAAGAGAAAAGTAAAGGAAAGGGAAGGGAAGAAAAGATAAGGGGAAAGAAAGTGGTTTGCCCCTTTCCCCTTCGACTAGGGGGCTTCGCCCCCCAGACCCCCCGCTCCCTTTTCAATGCAGCCCTATTTGTTTTTTTTTTTGAGTTAGGGGGGTCTTGCTCCGCTTTGGTGAGTGATCGAAGTGAGCTTGCCTCCACTTTGACAAGACCCCCCCTTTGAACTAATGTTATGCATCTTTATTCTTCTTAATATAAAGGACTTTTATTAAAAATAAAGAAAAAATGAGATCCCCCCTTCCTCTTCATCCTCCTCCTAAC